TTTTTTTCTTAGTTTTTTACTCCTCTACACGCTCCCGAAGTTTTGCCATTTAATTTGGAAACACCCTGTATATTATATCATTGTATTATAAGAGAGTGTGATACGATTTTGCCGTTAATTATATGTATATTTTTAATTAAACTCTTTTTAAGTTTCTAATTAAAAAATTTTTAATGTTATTTATAAAATTTATTATTTTAATAATTTAATATTTCTAATATAGAGAGTTGGAAAATTTATATTAAATTTAATACATTTTACGTATCTCCCAAACGGTTCAATCATCAAATTTTAGTATTAATTTAGTACAAGATGATTAGATTATTAGAAAGTAACATAATATTAAAAATAACATAATGTTAAAAATAGAAAGTAACATAAAAAAATATTAAAAATAATATATAAAGAATTACCTAATGTAAGGAAGGTAACACTGACACAATTTATAAGTAAAGTATGGAAGCATATTTTCTTCAGTAAAATTAACATTAACGATATGTTAAATTAACATAATTTTGAGCGTTGGCAGAGAACAAAATAGCAGTTTCCGTACGATCGCCGATCGCAAAGATAAAACAGCGCTCATTAGATGTGATACAGATTAAAATGGGATTATTATTTGGAAATGTCATGAAATTAATTCCTGAATTTAGGGGAAACGTTTTGCTTCATTTTAATTTTGTCGTGTGTATATTCTGAAACATAATGCTAGTAACATATCATGATCTACTTAAGAAAGAGTGATGTTTCCTTGTTTTATAAGTTAAAAATTTGTATTATTGATTCTTATGTTGGTATTTATTCTGTTTAACATTCGTACATATAAACACTGCGAATACGAAACGTCCTCTCACATGCTCTCGAGACACAAGTATAATCACATCATATTATAACGGATCATCGTTATGCTGAGTTCAATGTAAGTTTTTTAATTGATTTAATTAATTTTTGACTCATCGACTGTGTCAATTATTTTAATATTACCTCGATATTTTAGTTAAATTACGGAACTTTGATTTGAATATCCAGCTAAATATGACAATTGAAGTTTTTAATTTTGAACAACAGCTTAACGATGATTGGATGACTGTACTCCTTATTCGCTTATCTTTTTACAAGGTATAAAAATGTTCAAACACGGACTCCGATATTTGTTATTTACATAGGATGATCTAATGTTATGTTCGAAACGTTTGTAATTGATGAGTGACATATATATTATATTTAGATTACACACATTCAACTGTGTCGGTTCTCATTGGCATTATTTTATCCTTTATTCACCCCTACAGCACGAAATATTGCTGCAATATTGAAATTATATTTTATTGGAAATTGCAACAATATTGCAAAATATTGTAATTTTAATATTTTGTAGAAAATATTGCAATATATTATTGCAATATTACAATTTAGTAAATAAGTACGTGGCTCCGCCACTAGAAGGACACGCTTCTTGTAAGAGGAAAACATTCAAGGATCCTATAAGGAGTACGTAAATCGAGTTAGCGAGTTTCCTGGAGATTCCCAACCTTTTTTGAGGCGTGTTCGGATTCCCACCTGGATGTTCTCCGGATATCATCTTTGTTCAATAAATAACAAGAATGAAATGATATCTGGGTGGCACTCAAATGGGAATCGGAACATAGCCTTGGATGTGTTTTCTGGGTCCCCGTATTTTTTTTTATCATAACTTTATAGTATTTTGGAATATGATGCTAAACAATAATATGTTAGCAATTAATAGAACTAGAATAATTATATATTGAAATATATACAATATTGAATATATTTGAATATTATACAATATTGTAGCAATGTTTTATGAAATATTACAATCTTTCAAAATAATATTGCTGCAATATTGCTGCAATATTTCGTGCTGTAAGGGAATTTAATCTTTGGAGCATTTTCAAATTTAATTGTTGTTCTTTAGTATTTTTTGGCATAACTTTTTCAATTACTATTAAAACTTTTTTATATTTTAATATTTCGATTCTATACATTCTGGCATTTCATTAAAAAAAGTTTTCTATTGAGATTTGTGATAATTACAGAGCTAGTCAAAGACGCCGTGTGTGACTTGGACCCAGACATATAAATTAAGATTAAAACGAGATATGTAATTGAGGATTAAGATTCGTATATTCATTGGTACATGTCACGACTGATTTTTATAGCCAATTTCTTTAACTGTAAAGCGATTTAAAGAATGTGGTTTATTACAATGACGTTTATATTGAATGAACTTGGTGAAAAAATAATTGGACGAACAATAAGTAATTAGCAAATTGAAATTTTAATTCGTTTTATTGTAATTTTATTTTAATTTGTTTATTGCAGATCATGCGTTGTCTCATTGTGCTATTGTTCATATGTAGCTTTTTATATCCTTTTTCATTTAGAGGTAAGATACTCCAACAATATAAAAAGTTTTTCTTCTTCTCAATTTATTCTTAATTTGATTGTTGTATCTTTGATTCAAATTTGCGGACACTGCGATGCGTGGCGACGAACATTGTGTATTTCAAGAATGGCTTTGCGACGGCAGAAACGATTGTCCCGACGGCAGCGACGAGTTGGATTGCAGTAATTTTTAGAAATACAGATTACATATTAATAATGATAGGATAATAAAAATTATATTTTATTATAATAAAAAACTTTCACATGCAGTCTTATGTCTTTCCAGGAACAAATAAAACATATGCAGAAAGTTGTAAAATAGAGAATTTCAAATACATGTGTCAAAATCATCAATGCGTACATCTTAACGCAGTATGTAACGGAAAAGATGACTGTGGTGACAAATCAGATGAAGGTGCCGGTTGTGAGTATACTATATATATTTCAACATATTTTAATTGTTGCATTAACTTTATCACAACAAATTTTAATTATATTGCCTTTTATTTTAATGCGTTTAAGTCTTTTGTGATATAATCTTTGCGTGATTTATTATATATTGTTAAGTTTTATTTAGGTACACCACCCAGTTGCCCCAGCTCGGTAAAATGCGATCATGAATGCAAACAAACTCCTAAAGGAAGTGTATGTTTCTGTAAACCGGGTTATAAGTTACAAAATGATAATCACACTTGTATAGGTAAAATTGTGATAAACAAAAGCGACAATGTTGCGAAAATCATATATCGTTCACCTAACGATTTTTCTATTTCACAGATATCGACGAGTGTCAAACTTATGGCATATGCGATCAAGAATGTATGAATTCTCCAGGATCGTATAGTTGCAAGTGTCAAACGGATTATTTCTTACAGGAGGACAAGAAAACCTGCAAAGCGAGTGGTAAATTACAATAATCTAGGAGTACGAGTAACAGCGTATATTCTTTTTATTTTTATATTAGACTTTATAAAAACACGAATCTTTCTTTGAAATTTAGGTCGTGCTAAAATATTGTTCTCTACAAAAAACGAGATTATCGAAATGTATCTCACCACGAAAATAAATGACGTTGAACTCTTCAATGAATTGAAATTCTCAAGTGACCTGGTCAGTATTGCAGTAAACGATGAACAGATATATTTTTCGAAATTGGAAGATGATAATGAAGTCATTTCAAGAAATATTCTTAATATGTCTACAGACATCGTGACAATAGGTAAATGTATATGATCTGTAGATATAATTAGAGCTTTTGTAAAGCATTTGTGGAAGCAATTTTTTATGTGCCATCATTTTTGTAGAACGAAATAAAATAATATGTTAAAAATATTGTAATTTCGTAATATACATATAATAGTAATTATAATCGAATAATAATTATAAATAGTTATATAATTCAAAGTTAACGTTGCATTTGCAAAATAAAATCGATCAAATATGATTCAAAACCAGAAAAAAGATATCGTGATACAAATGATCGATGCACAGCTTGAACCGAAAATTGTACCTACAAATTCACAAAAGAAGTATAATTATAAGCACAAAAAATCGCCTTAACTGAATATGACCTTTTCTGCTTACTCATATTTAATCTCATCGATCGATTTTCACATAATATTATTGTTTAAGTCTAATGTAATTTATTCTCTTCTAATAAATTATTGGAATATTTTAAACTGTATAAACTCATCAGCTATAAATAATGTAAAAATAATCAATAATGTTTATTTATTTTTTCATCCATCATGTTTTAACATCTCCCTCGAATTATTATTAATTATTTTTATATTACGATTGATGAAGACTTTGTATAGTTCAAAACGTTCAGTAATTAATTGAAAGAAAATAAATTTTGTATTAGACTATAAATATCTTTTCTACTCGTTTACTGGTACTCGTTGTTTATCACGTACTTTTATAAATATAATAAGATTTATATATATAAATAAATATATAAAATTATATATTAATATTTATAAAAAAAAGAGAATATGTCTCTTATATTCTTTGAGAAGTAAGTACTTTAAGATAAAAGTTGCATATTCTACTTGTTTATTATACCTTTCTAAGTTTTCTACATTTTTCTTGTATAAAGGCTTGTCAAAGATATCGTCGATGGCCATAGATTGGATCACAGAAAACCTATATTTTACGGACAAGATTTATCATCATATCGCAGTTTGCAAAATCATCGGAAATGACACAAATTGCACTGTATTAATCGATGATATTGATGAGCCAACAGGAATTGCTTTATTACCAACTCGTGGGTAAATATCACACTTCTTGCAAAAGTTATTCTTAAATTTTATTATTTCTTGATAACTTAAATGATCTTATAAAGAAACGCCAGAAGAAAGAGAGAGAAAAAAGAAGAGGTTCTTATTAATTAATTTATTATTTCATCAGAAGCTTACAAATCTTCTTAATAGTTATATTTTAAATCTATTGTACCATATGTAATATAATTTTTTACAAACTTTGTAATTATTTTTTAATAATCTAACGATCAAATAAAAAAAACATCAGGAAAAAGAGAGAAATTAAAAAAAAATACAAATTCTTATTAATTGATTTATCATCTTATCTGGATCCTTGGTTTATTAAAAATTGGATTTTAATTAACGATATTATTTTATAAAATACTGATAAAATAATTGTTATTCCTAAAATTTAAATTTTAAACCAAACATTAAACTTTTTCAATTATAGAGAAGCTAGAATTATAACAACATACTTAAATAGAACCAACTTAAATAGAAATATATTAAACAAATGTTACATTTATAGGAAAATGTATTGGTGTAATTGGAGTTCTAATCCACACATAGCAGTGGCGGGAATGGACGGCAAAAACATCCACGTATTTGTCTCTGAAAATATAAGTGCGCCGAGAAGCCTAACTATTGACTATCAAACCGATCGATTATATTGGGTGGATATCAAATTAAGGAAAATTGAATCAATACATTTAGACGGAACTGATCGAAGAGTTAATACTTGTTTCTTTTTTAATTATAAAATATTTCAAGGTACAACGCACTGAGATTCTACGAAATACATTTATATAATATAATTATTCGCAGTTTGTACTACAAAATATAATATACGACCCATTTTCATTGGCGATCTTCGAAAATAAATTGTACTGGACCGACATGAAATCCAGTGCGATACATTCATGCAATAAATTCACTGGAAAGGATTATCGGAATATCTTACATCGAAGTTTACATCATCCTTATAGTATGCACATCGAACATCCAGCGCTGAAGCCTAAAGTACGTATAGTATCATGTTATTTTTCCATTATAAAAAGTAGGTCGCAAAAAGTTTGCACTATCTTTCGATCAAATTTCAGATTAACAATCCATGCCTTTCCAACCCGTGTTCCGAATTGTGCATGCTAAATCAGGAGAACAGATACACGTGCGCTTGTACTTTGGATAAAGAATTAAACGCCGACAATCATACCTGTAAAGGTAAATTCGTTAAAAAATTAAGATTAAATACCAAATTTATTGGACATATTAACACATTCTGCATATCAAAATTGAGGTGTTAATAATAACGAATAATATTTATCACATATCTTATTAAGTAAGCATTCTTGAGTAAGCATGAGAGTATAATTTCAGAGACGACGAAGAAGCATCATTTGCTGATATTTGGTAGATATATATTTGTAGACTATTATGACGGAATGATAGGCAAGCCAAAAGTGAAAGATATACCGAAATCACTTATAAATGGACATATAGAAGACATGGCATCTGATCCGATCACTGGTATATATATTAGAGTTGCTTTTTTAAATATATTACAAATAGCGATTTGTATTTATATACTAACAATTGGTTTTTGTCGTTACCAACTTTTACAATTAAAAATTTATTTAGGCCAGATATTCATATTATGGAGCGGATGGACACAAATAGATGTCAATCGCTTCGATCCTGTCAATGATATTTTTGAAAACATCATATCGAAGAATTATTCGTTTGCTTACTATATGGGGATAGCATTTGATTATATTAGAAATAACTTGTATTTAACAAATTCACGCAACGCATCTATCGAGGTATACAATGTAAAAACCCTGGCAATGACGACTTTCTATTTTAAGGATAATATTCCCGATTATATTACATTGGTGCCTGAAGAAAGGTATGGCATTAAATTGATTAATTATTATTTACGAAATGATAGTTAGTGTTTGTTAATAAAACAGTTATAAAGAAAATATTACATATTAAATATTGCAGCAAGATGTACGTAGCGTTCCGAAAAGAATATTCTTTTATGTACTTAAAAAAATATTATGTATATGAAATGCAAATGAACGGACTCGGTGAAAGAAAGCTACTTATGGACGATTTGATTGGTCCAAAAATATCAATGTGTTATCACAGAGACAGTAAAACACTCTTTGTGAGTGCTGAAAACACTAATAGTATCTTGTTGCACTCGGCTGAAGGTTTGCATCCTTTAGCTTTTATAAGTGTTTAAGTCTTGAGTTATGTCTCGCAGATGTATGTTTAAATTTTTAAGTATATTATTACATAATTCATCGAATTAAAATTTTAATGCTTGAGTGTAATATACTTAATGGAATCCTAAAGCCGTCTATATTACCGATTAAATCGTAATTTTTGTTTAACAAATACCTTTTTCCTCTTTCACAGATTCAAAAATCTTTTTCCGGGATTAAAGTATATATATTAATACGTGTTTGTGAAGTGGAGTTTATATCGTGAACGACAAAAAATTTTTTTTAAGATTTCAATTTCAAAATTTTTTCGTTTTCGGTATAAATTCTACCTCATAAATACTGTGAAAATCAATCTGTGAAAAATATCAAAAATCTGTGAAAAAAGTATTTGTTATACAAAAATTACGAATTAGTCGGTAATACAGACGGCTTTAGGATCCCCTTAAGTTGAGAAATTTATATTATAAACATTATTTATTTAAATTGGAAGAAACTACTAAACTGTACGGTTGCCTACAAATCACATATTTACTGAAACTAAAAAAGTTTTTTTTCAGTGAACGTACAATAATTCATTACGAAAAAATACGTTTGTATGAATATCGTAAAAATATAAAGCATCTAATTTTTAGGCACACGTAAGTTCCGTACTGAATTAGATCTGCCTTTTGGTCTTACTATCATTGGCGACATTATCTATTGGACTGAAAGTGGATCAAAAAAATTTTACTCGACAAATGTTAAAAACACTTTTGATCTGAGCCATAAGAATGTAATTCCTTTGCGTGAGTTCCTTTAATACTTGTTTAATAAAGTACAATAGGGGAGAAGGTGGTATTATGGCACCCCACCCGCAATATTATCTTTTTAGATACACACATAGGACTGCCGTTTCTAATAACTTTGCGCAGAGATGTTAAATTTGATCACGATTGTCAGAAAAATAATGGAGACTGCTCACACGTGTGTTTGCCTACTAATACTTCATTTGTAAGTATGCAAGTTTTATGTAGGCGATGCAATCATATGCCACAACGTTATAATTATTCGTCAAACGCAATACAAACATTTCGTATACAATTAACAGTGTTGTTTTAATATATTTATGATATATGTTGTTTAATTTCATTTTGTTTGCGAAATGACACTATTTGTCGGAGAAATAAAAATTCAATCAGACATTTTTATTTCTAGATTTGTGCTTGCCCTCCTGGAATGACGCTTTCATATGACGATCATACTTGCATTATGTATGAATGTCCTGCGAACGAATTTAAGTGCGACGAATATAATCTCTGCATATCAAAAAAAAATGTGTAGGGTTTAATTATTTTTACACATAATCCATAATTAAAAAATAATTCCGTGTACATTGGAAATCAATGTATTAACAGTTATATTCGGTTGTAATACATTTTGTGTTGTTTATTATACGAATATCGAGATTAACTTACTTGTTTTGGTATATTTTTGTACCTTTGTATTTAATTTATTTTTCTTCAAACAAAGGAATATTCATTATTCCATTTTTCTTTTCTCATAGATTTCATATATAATATAAATATTATTATTTATAAATCTTCCAATTTATTTAGATGCGACGGTATCAAAGATTGCCCGCATGGTGAAGACGAGACGATAGACTGCCATGAAAAGAAGAAATGTGAGAAAGATCACTTCACCTGTACAAATGGCGAGTGTACCGATATGAAACATCGTTGTGATTGGCGTTACAATTGCATCGATCATTCGGATGAGGAAAATTGCGAAAGACCGCAATGCTTAGAAGGTATAATAATTACGGAGATAAATGTTACATGCATTTTTGTTCTACTTCATTATTTTTAAATTATATCTGAATACGATGATTAAATGAATATCTGATTGAATCCGTGATCTTTATCTCTCTACCCGTTTCTAGCAATATAATTTAATTTGAATCTTGGTTCAACTAATTTTTTATCTTAATACAATTATAAGGATTAAAAAAGTCGGAGAGTAGGTTGACCGAGATTAAAGTCCATCTACATTGGAAGAAACGGTGTGAATGTACTTCGACTAAACTTATACAGTCGCAGTTATGAATTTATTTATGATAAGTGTTTAAATATAAATTTATGATAAATTTTCGTTTTAGATGAATTTCAATGTCACGACGGGTTAATCTCTTGCATACCGAAGACACTTGTATGCAACGAGTTCGTAAGTAGCATTTATATCATACTTTATCCGTTTAATTCACTTACTGTATTTATTACATGTGATTTTTTTATTTTCTAAGAATAAACGTTAATAGTAGTTGTTAACTCAGAGTATAGTTTTGCAAAAAAAGCTATCGGAATAAAATAAATAAAAATACACTTTAAGAAACTGCGTCTCTACATTTCCAAATCACAATATATGAACCTTTTTATTAATTTATTTTGTATACAGCACAACTCATTTTAGCAATATTGTAGTAACACTGTATTGTCCTACTGAAAACGTTACAGCAATTAAATTCCTTCAGCAATTCAGTACATGCTGTAGGTTTTATTCGATATGGCAATGTTATTTTATTTAATGTTGTTTGTATTTAAGCCTGATTGTACAGACGCATCGGATGAAACAAACGAGGCATGTAAAGAAACAACATGTTTAGACGGAGAATTTCGGTGTCACAATGGTCATTGTATATCGGCTTCGCTGAATTGCGACGGCTTCAATGATTGCCTCGATGAGAGCGATGAAATATTTTGCCCACATCATTTAAGTAATTGCAGCAAGCAATTCCAGTATCAGTGTCTTGGCACTAATTTGTGTCTTCCTAAAATAGTAAGGTAAGTTGATCGTTTAATTTATAACATGAGAGAATATTCGGTAAATAATGTGCACGAATATCAAAATTTGCCTTAAGTTACTTATTCTTTGTGAAGATTTCTTCAAATTGCAGAGTTTGTTGTGCAAGCGGATAATCGTGAACGTTAAAAAATAAATTATAATCTTAATCTTACAAATTTTCCGTGTTTATCTATTTCTTTTCTTGCAGATGTGATGGCGTAGTTGATTGTCCGAGAGAAGATGACGAGCATAACTGTGACGTGTGTTTGAACGATGAATTTAATTGTGACGGAACGAAGTGCATTCCGAAGAGTTGGGTATGCGACAAAAAGGATGATTGCGACGATAATTCAGATGAGAAAGATTGTATCGATGGTAAAAAGACCATCATGGATTCTACTGAATGTAATGAATTCAAATGTTCTATCGGCACTTGTCTGCCGTACTATGAAGTATGCGATGGTTTTCAAAACTGCCCAGACGGCAGCGATGAAAATGGAAAGTGCCGTACGTTGTTAATATTTCTTGAGCTATATAACTTTAACTGCTAAAAATACTTTTAACGAAAAATTCATCAATTAATTTACATTACCCATACAGCACCAAACTTCTAAAAACGTTCATAGAACATTTTAAGAATGTACCAATATTCTTAGAACGTTCATATACGTTCTATTAATATCATGTGCTATCTGGGTATTTTTACCTTTGAAGAATTCGTTGAAATTGGTCTTTTCTTCATATAAGTTTAATATTTTACATTGATAGTTTAAAAAAAAGTGTTGATAAAGTGAAAGAGACAGAATCATAGAATTTCTGAAAATCTGAGAAATTTATATCTTGCGTATTAGTTTGCTCTATTTACTGATGCGTTATATTTTTTTGTTTAGAGACCGCTTGTTCAATAGATACTCATTGTGAAAGTCGATGTTACAAGACACCAAAAGGCGATGTTTGCGGCTGTCAATATGGATATCGTTTAACTAATGCGACTTCTTGCGAGGACATAAACGAATGCGAAAACGACGTTTGCTCGCAGTTTTGTCGGAATTCAGTGGGTTCTTTCGAGTGTTTGTGTCATAAGGGATATTACATCGATATAATTGACGGAGTTTCTTGCAAAGCTTTCGGTAAGTACATGGTTTCAATTAAATGTTTATGCAAGTTATTTAGAACAATAAATATTATTAATGATTATTTAGGCCCACTAATGAAATTCATCACCGTTACTGATATCGATATTAGGATGATATCACCTAATAGACACTCGATTCATGTGATCCATTCATTATCAGGATATAGTATAAATGGATTTGACGTGAACGCAGTCCACGATTCTGTCTATTGGAGTGAGAGTTAGTTTCTTTCTTTTAATCTTATAAATTAAGTTAATTATTAATACACGATATCTAAAATACACGTGAAGGGAGTCTAAAAGACTTCTGAAAAAGGATTGAAAAAGTCTTTCAGAAGAATCACGTTATTCAATTAAATATAAAAAAATTAATTGTAGGTGAATTCGGCACTATTAAGAAACTCAAAATTAGAGGAAATATAGAGGAAACAAAGAAAATATTCACAGTCACTATCGAGCATCCGCAGGCACTCACGATTGATTGGATCACCGACAATGTCTATGTCAATGATAATGGTCATTTGAATACGATTCAGGTATATTTCTTCTAAACATCGCGTTAACAATAGAATAATCGTAATCCGTATACTTATTTAATTATTTTATTGAAGGTATGCAATTTCGAGAATCAAAGATGTGCGATACTGGTGGAGATAGAAGATAAGGCAAAAGTAGGATCCCTTTTTGTTGACTCGACTAATAGGTACCTTTTTTATTCCTCTTAGTTTTTTTATTTTCATTTATTTGGCATATTTACCAAGATAACAAAACGCTAGCAGCATACCTACAAATTCAATCATGATTATAGAGCAAATTCCTATCAACTGTATTCTCTTTAAGCTTGGTTTCTATTATTATGACTTTTCAACCATAATATATAAACAACAGAAATGCATCAGCAATGGAGCATACTTCGATTCCATCATGATGCCATAATGCAGGATCTGTTCGTGTTCTGATACATTTCTATTAATATTAGAAAGGCAGTAGACTTGTACTTTATTGTTGCTAACTAACATAATATGCAATACATCTCTCTAAATTTCTTGGAGTGAAATCTCACTCTCCAAGGCTGGTTTGTTCCATCTCTCGAAACTTCAGTTAACTCTCTTACTCTCTCATACTCTTACTCTTTTACTCTTTTGTTGATCTATTAGATAAATTAACACATAATTTATCTGAAGATGGAACAGCCGGCCCTTAGAGTAAGCTTTCACTCCAAGAAATTTAGGGAGATGGTTTGCAATACATGTTTCCGCAAATTTGTCTATCTGGATATGAATTTGATAGATATTAATGACATCTTTGTTAGAATTATCAAAATTTAGATTCGCTCATGACATTGTAGATGGCTATTTTGGTCTCAAATAACTTGGCAAATGGACAAACCGTTTAGCAAAATATGTCGGACAGATATGATGGGCGCCGATATGAAAATTATTGATTCTGATGTAGGCTTTGTGAGCGGAATGACAGTCGATTACATAAAATCTAAATTATATTGGTTGGACAATTTTAATGAAGTTATCAAATTATCTAATCTGGATGGAAGTCAACGCAGCACGTTCTTAAGTACCAATGTATGTTAAAATGTTCATTATATCAAGCCATTTTTTAAATTTAAAACAGAGGCATGTTAAAAAGATGTAAAAACTGCATATTTAACTGAATATTTAATCCTTTTTTTTTTAATAATATTCTTTTTTTTTAGATGCGTTATCCGTCAAGCATTAGTATTTATGAACAATCGATTTATTGGTTGACGGGTACAAACGGTCAATTGCGAAGTTGTAAATTGTATGGTAAAAGATTGTGCGAAACATTAAATGTAGGCACAAATAATGTTCACAAACAGTTCGCCATTCTTCATATTTCCAGGCAACCTGTTGGTTGGTATGATATAATACTTAAGACCTCTAGTAATCTTAAAATCAAATTCTTATCATGTACATTAATTTCAATAGAGTTATTAAGTAAAGTTAAATTATACTTTTTTTAATAGGTAAAAATCCTTGTGACGTAGAGTTTTGCGATTATATGTGCGTTTTGAAAAAGGAAAATGCAACGTGTATTTGTTCAGATGGTAAACCGATAAAATCCAATACCACTTGTACGATAAATAGTAAATTAATTGGCAATACACAACATACAAGTATTTATATCACAACAATAATCGTATTACTAATTGCTGTTTTATTATTATGCATTTACAACTGCTATCAGAGAAACAAATTCCAGTGGAAACTAGCAGGCGACTTAAAGTACGTCCTAAATTTATTTTAGTATTCAATTTAAACAGGAATTTTTTAAGAACAATATATAAATATTATTCGCATATAATTAAAATTGTACAATATATAATTGTTGCAGCATTCACCGCTTTCATTTTCAAAATCCGTTGTATGATCGAAGAGATGAGATTGAGTTGACACTCGATTCGACAATTGAAGACTTGTCTTCTGAACAGCACGAACATGTCAATCCTCTTGATGATGAATTTGTAAATGTGAAGGTAAATTAGTAATTTTACACTTAGATAAATGACATTACTTTTTGTGATTATATCGCTTATGTGGTTATATTTATCGAATTATAATGTGCATTATGTAAATTTCTGTGCATTACGCACAGAGTACATATACGCACGCGTGATTTCAAGAAATAATTATGTTCATGGTTAAAAGGATAATTTAATCAACTATTTAAATGCATATAAATTATTGCAGACTTAATTATTTAGTATTCTTTTTGTAGGCTGCGATGGAAAGTAATAGAAGAGACAAAGATCAGGTGCTCGGAGGAAAGAGATGTTGAAGAGATAGAAAAGCTAGATTCGAGTGTTGTTCTTTGTACACATTCCAAATAATTTACAATAATAAAGATATCTAAAAAATTAATATGTTAAAAATTATTGAAACTTACTTGTTAGTTATAACAAAATATTTTATAGGTTTCTTATAAAATTTTTTAATGTTTATTACTCTAGATATCAAGGTGAATGTACCTATAAATGCTGCATGTGCGTGTGTGTATGTATAGGATCACAGGATGTTTTAGGTCCAACGCACCACCTGCTAATGCAGATTCCTGAAATTATTCTGGGACGAAAAAGTTCTAATACCAAACAAAATGTCAAGGCTATCATAGTTTTTGAATTATATTATATAATCATTTAAACCTAACAAATTATATTGTCTAAAAGAAGGATGTTAAAAAAGTATCGATTTTGATTTACAAGGTACACCTGAATAGACTTTGGAAAATTATTATTCGAGTCCCTTGGGGACCAAAATCGACATTTATTTAACATCCTCTTTTGCGTGTTCAAGTATGATACAACGCAAAGTACTAAAAGTAATAGCTAGTAGTTGCCTTTTGTTAATATTGATTACATAGTCGAAAATAAAATTACTGATATTTCTAATCCTTGATATTTATTATGTTAAAAAAAAATATTTATCCTCTGGACATTATGGTATTATATTTTCGTCTTAAAATGACTTCAGGAATCTGCCATTAGCAGGTGGTGCGTTAGTTCTGAAACATCTTGTATATACATCTTGTATACACATACTTGTATATACATACTTGTATATACATACTTAACTCATTACTAGGATTCACTAGAGCTGATTAAGGTAATTTATATTTAGATATACTTAAATTTAACATTATACAAAATCGAATGATGTAGAGATTACGATGTATAGACTATTTTCTCTCTTTCTCTCTCTCTCTCCTTCAAATATAGCTATATAAAATATTAGCAGTGTTCAGTAGAGAAAGCAGCTTTGCAACTGTTGTAAAATTCTGTAATATGACTGGTTTATACATTTAGAAATTATTAAACATTTATACATTTAGAATTTAAATTAAACTTTCTCTGTACAGTTTTGCATTGCATTATAAATTATTATCTTATAATTAATAAAAATGGAATTTTAATTTTATAAAAATATTATTGTTATAATGTCTTAATGTTAACTCAATTATAATAAAAATCTAATATTTAAAAATTAGAAAACGTAGATACAATGTCATCATGTGAATGATTGTTGATGCTGAAGATTCATTTGATTCCCAGTAATTTATATCCGATATCCATATGCCTACATATATACAATAAAAAAATAATTATAATAAACGTAATATAGTGTGTATTTTCTTTCTTTTCCTCCTTCCCCCCCTCTCTCTCTCTCTCAACTGTATGACTGCCTATTTAATTGAAATTATTCCTCTAGAGATGTATAATTTTAACTAATTAAATAGGGACTATCAAGGGCACCAACACCTGCCACTATTCCGCCTTCATCTTCGCTCGATAATTTGGTTCTTAGAATATGTCCAACTTGTTTATTTAACATTATCTCATTGCTATCCCTAGAAATATTATACAAATATTATTAACGTCATTTATTTATTAACAAAGAATATAATAATCAAAATGCAAGTCGTCCCATCTGTACTTACCCTACTATTACGCCATATATCCCAAGTTCTGTTATAACATCTGATAGATTAATGTCATTTTCTAAAGGCGATTCTTCTGCAGCACGTAAAAAATAATTTTTCTGTAAAGGAGGATAAAGGCGATCCATGAGAATCCATGCCGTTCTCTCTTGCGATTCCTTCATTGAACTTAACCACGTTTTTATACTCTCGTTATATACATTGTTCCCTCCTCCTTCCCTTTGTGGTTTAAGAACAAACTTGTATGGTTCGTTTATACCCATTTCTACTGCTTTTTCTCCATCATCATTCTATTATTACAATAAATACATTATTTTGGATTTGAATTACTAAAAGTTATTCATATAATTGTTAATTATATAAGCATTATGATGAAATAATAAATAGATTACTTACAAAATCTAATGTATATAGACCAGTAAATATTTCTTGTACTCTAGCAACAGATGCATCATCTTTTAGAAATTTTTTCAATACACTAGGTTGAGCTAAAGATTGTTGTACCTAAAAAGATAATTTTCAAAATCGAAATATTTTATTACAATGAATATTTATATAATATGAATATATATATATATATATAAAATACAAGGATACATTAATTACAATGAATATATGTTACTAAATTTATTCTAACTGTAATGAGTATGATAAAAATTAATGTTTTTGTTTTCTATTAATTATTTTAATATTTCATACAACTTTTGTACAAATAACAAGAAAATTTGATTTGTTGTATATTACTCTTGTTTAAGCAAATAAAAATTAAAATGATTTACATACTTTTTTAGTACCTGCTAAATGATACTGTACTGATGGACACTTTATTGCACGAGAACGTTCTATTAACAATCTCATGTCCCATTCCTTTTCTGTAGGATAAGCTTCAAGTTCGTAACCCGAACGATAGTAAACAACAGCCACTACCATATTTGAACTAAAATAATTCAAGTAATTCAAATGTTTCAATAATTCAACATTTCAAATGTCTGGATTCTTTATTCAGTATTTATTTCTATATTTGCAAAGACTTGAAAAAAATTCTCTTTTAAAATATTTTGTGTATAAATTTTAATATAATTTAAAAAATAAATTGTAATTAAGATTGCAACTTACACAATTAATTCTTTATTTGGTCCCAATTTCACTCCCTCCGATACTAAATTTGTTAAACTTTTTCTAATAATCTTAATTTTAGGACATAATTGACGAATTTGAAATTCATGAAACCTTTGATCGCTTATATTATAAGTTATATCTTCAACAATAAATAATATAATAGCTCTAAAACATATTTGTTTATTAGTCTTATTGATAGAATGTAACAACCAGAATAAAATTTGCTCTATCATTCAACTTACTCTGAATTATTATACAATTCCCATGCGAATATTAATCCTTTGCAAAATCCAATAAGCGCATTATTTTCTGGAATCTTATAAATAGCAATAATCAGTATTAATAAACTGTAAAATATTTTCAAAATATTACAGCATCAAGAACAATAGATCTATTCTCTTTCTAGCACAGTTCATCTTTCCTCCTTCTTTCACGTTGAAGTGAACAAGAAAAAAATGATCTGTGCAAGAAGTTCAGTTAAAAAGAACAGATTTACTGAAGAAGTTAGCATGTTACAAAAACCAAACATATAAATAATTATATCTTAAAAAAATTATAATAATAATGAACAATTAATTTACTTGTTCGCACGCTTTCTTCCTATATCCCAATTCTTCTAATATATATCTATAAAATAAATACCATTAAAAACATTTAAATAAGAGACTTTTCAAATAATAAAATTTCTTCTTAATAAAATTTTTCACACTGAACTTACTTATGATATTCGGATGTAATTGTAGCTAAGGCTGCAAAGCTAGTCGCTACTGTATTTATTTCTACTTGCTTTATCTTACAGTCATCATCGTGTAATAAATAATCTGATCTCAACAGTCCAAGACTTATACTCTATATAACAGGAACATCTTCTTTTGTATTTGTGCACAATGATCAACTGCATCAAATCTTTTCATTTTTTGATGTCTAGATATTAATATTTAATATCACATACCTGGCTCAAATCTTTTTCGTATACTGTCTCATATATGTGGAACAGCTTTGCTGTAAATGGATCAGCTTGGATTGTGCTAAATCAAATAATATAACTCTATGATAAAAAAAGTTCCATTATGATTATAGCTCTAGTAACAGTACCTTTTTAAGCTGCTTGTAAGAAATTCCTTATCATGAGCAACCTTATGAATAAGCTCGTTTAATATAGTTTGTACATTTTTTACAGTTAAAAAGGGATTTTTGGGGAAGCTCGATGGTAACAATGTAACAGGTAGTAGTTGTACCTGGTCCTTATTAAAATTCGTCTTGGACCGCATAGATATCCCTAAGTAATAACATAAGATCTCGTCACATAAATCTGTCTGAATGCATCATCTGAATCGTTACAATTATTTTATATTTGCATCATATCCTTGTCTTTGTGCTTAAAACTATATAAAATAGCCATCATGTTTGCCTTTATGACTTGCAAGTCATATCAGGAATGAGCAAGTATGTAAGTTTAATCATTTTTCATGTTTGATTATCAGCAATTTATTTCTTATCAGTAAAAAAATATAATTACCGTGCATAAGCGCCCAATCCTTCGCTTTATCTACGCTTTCTTTCAGCTTTTCCTCCGAGAGAGGAAGCTCAATACAAGGTTCCAATTGACAGGTACTCATGACGAATCTAAAATCAAATTGGACAACAATCAAGTCAATCAACATTACTCCAAAGAACCCTGACAAATGAAAGCGGCCATATGGGCCATGCTAATAATCAGCAGTAATCAGCAGCTGATTCCCTCTTTTCGTAAAATCATCGGATCACGTGCCGTGTAGGACAGGTGGGAATCTGGGAATCAAAAGTACCGTACACTAGCGAACCAACATCTATTTTAATCACGGGAACTAGTTACTACATCTATTTCGCGACACTGCCGATAAAATCGTAAAATCGAAAGTGAATGTGGTGCATGTCCGTACTAAATGTAAGAGCTTGCTAGCTTCAATTAGCACGGATAGAGAGAACTAATATTTCAAATGGAACTCGTCTATTGGCGTCTTTATGTGCACAAAGCATGCACAATGAACTGAACTATGTAGCCATGGATATTTCCGGTGGTTAACTTGTATACAGGGGAATATATCTGTAAAAGGGCTGGAGCGATATAATTTGTATCAAATTTATTTAATGTTGTAATTAATATATGTAGAAGTATACTTTTATCAAGTTTTTGCGAATGTGACATTCATTTTTATAAATTGTTACACGATATGCTGTAAATTTGTATATACATTTTATTATTATATTGCAAAATGTCATTAAAATTATATGTTTTATTAAAGATAAGGTTTTGTGAGCATAAAAATTTATACTTAAAAAATGGAAATATATATATATTGATGGATTATATTATTTATGTAAACAAATAGAGCAATACTAATACACATCAGTTAAAAACATTTTGTATTTAAAAACGTTCCATTTAAGTTAATTCTTGTTAAAATTTTGTGTTAAATATTATAATTTATCTAAATGTTAATTTAACTATTAAATATTATAATTTGATTAAATTAATAGAATTTAGGAGTAAATAAAGAAATAACATAAAAATAATTTTTTTTAATTATATGTAGGTATGTAATCCATGTATATATTATATATATATTTAAATAAGATACATTAATCTTTTTCATTATAATAAATATGATATATATTTGTTTCAATAAAAAATAATAAACATGGATTAATATTTAGGAAGGTGGAAAAAATTAATATTTAACTGACAATGAAATTGTCTTTTTATTTACTTTTTAAATGAAATTCTTTGTGAAAAAAGGCTAAGAATTTATTTTTTAAATAAAAAGAGATATTTTTTTTAATTAATTTATTTCTTCAGTACACTATCACATATTTCTGCCTATTTCTCTATATTATATTATATATATCAGCATATATATATATATTTTAAAAAATCATTAATACCTACACGTAAAATGTATGTAGAGTCCTACGATTGGAAACGCTATTTCGTGAATCTGAATGATACTAGATTATGTCAATGAATGACTGCATGACTGATGACTATACAATTTTCCACGTACCAATTATAGCGCTTAGTACACAATTTATGCAAAATTGTTGATTTGTGAAATTTTAAATAAATTCCATCAATAATTTGGTACGTTTCGTCAGACGCGTAAATTATTCCTTTATTATGCCGCGTATTGAAATAGAAACGCGGATGGCGTGCGAATAGGTATTAATCTTTGATCACCATAACGATCAAACACGATATAATAATCACGCCCATTAATGCAATGCTTCTTTCCTTGAACAATATCGTACGGGATGTTTGAAAACGGCGGCTGTATTCCGTTCTGTTTGTTAAACAGCTGATTCTTGGTGGTATACACCAATCGTGGGATTAAAGAATCATTTGATTTCCGTTTCCACTTGCAGCAGAACGTGCGATCGGACCATTTGTCGATCTTCTTTCGCCGTTTGTAAGATTTCACCAACCAATTAATTAATATCTCGAGAACGAAAATCACTATCGCGATCATATATCCAGTGAGGACCACTTTAAACGTTAAAGATAGATCGGAAATTGACAATCGTCTTTCAGTGGATCGAAGATCCAGCGGACATACTTGCGCAATTGGTAGACTCTTCAGTTTCTCGCGCGTCATTATACCAGATGCCATTAGAGTTATCAATCTGAAACAAGTTCAGTTTTTTATTGAATTGCACAACTAATAATATTAGATTATGTCAATAAATCATTGATGATTAATGACTACAATTTTTGTGTTACGAACTTATGCTTATAAGACATAATTTATATAAAATTATATTCTACCTATTTTTTTAAATTTTATTATCTATTACTCGTATTATCTAAATTCTAAAAAGTTCGAAAAATATACAAGCATAGTTAATCATAATTCTATTTACTTTTTAAATCAGAAAATATTAATTCTTTTAACACAAAAATTTGTCGCTTACTCTTTATTAAACGGTTTCTCCAAAGTAGAGTTTATAGGAAAGGCGAATGCCTTATTGATCACGAAAATCGCGTTGGGCATAATAACATATGTACATCTGTTCCGGTGCTTCAGGTGTTGGCGGGTTTTGTTGATATAATTCTCGAATATTAGAGTTTTGAGGTAATGAGTCTCCCCAAGAAACAGTTTGTCTAGAGATTAAATATCGAACTTCTTTTTATTTATTATTAAAGCGTGTGCTTGAAATTTGGAGGTAGTACTCACTCTTCTCTACAGCGTCAAAAATATCGTCAATTGGATACTCATACGACGTAATATAGTTGTTCTTCCATCTTGTGACGTTTAAGAGACTTAAATCCTCATCCTTGAACTGAAAACATTAAAAATGAAATTTAAGTTCTATTAATTACACTAGTTTACAAAAAATAATTTCTTTTAATTACTTTTATTTACCAGACAAGGTGTTTCTTATAAATTTTAACTGAAAACAATGCCACATGCTAAACACTACTACATCACGTTTTCGAAATAACTACAGAGGTTTAACGTACCAAAAATTGCTTTCTTTGCGATATTTTTTGTATAAAAGATTAATATTATCTTAAAATTCTAATTAGAAGTAAATGTATTGTCTATCCCCTATAAAATGTATATTTTTAATTTCAATATCCTACTTTTCAGCCATGTTATGTATCAATGCTTTGACTTGTGATAATATTAAAAATATTAAATATATTATTAAATAATATATTATTAATGGTTCAAAATAACTTTCTGTTGTGTAAACTAGTGTTATTTTAACGTTTTATGGTTGTGATAAAATAAACAATGCTTGTAACTCTTATCAGTTTTAAATCGTAACTATTGGATGAGATCGTAATTACAAATTCTCTCTTGAAAAAGATTAAATACGTGTTTGGAAAGACTTACTCCAGAAAGCATTAAGTCTATTGTGCGCCCTTTATAAGCAATCCACTGATAACCTTTATGCAATATATCTTGTATGTTGTTGATCGGCAAGGTAAACTGTGGCCTTGTAAGGAACGCAGTAAGATTCGCCGTGTAAAAGGACGTTAGTATTAAAATGAATATCCACCACATAGCGAACAGGATCCGCGTCGAGTCTGCAATCGGCGTTTTTCAAATTTTTTAAATTCGTTTTTCAATTCAATGTCACGTAATAATAACAATACAATAATTAGCATACGTTTGTTGTTTTCCAAAATCGTAGGATAAAAAAATTAATATTCTAACTGTCACAATAATCTATACATAAATCATGCTAGTCGGATATACGGAAAACTCAAGTTTTTCATTAATTTAATTTACATTATTACTAGGGCAACCAAAATATGTATAGGGCATCTTTTTTTTTATTTAACTAATAAAGAAATAAACTAAATACAAATTTATTTCATAAGAAATTATGCATTTTGAGCCTTATATGTTACAGCATATTTTTGCATATTTCACCCACACATGTACAATATTTACATATTTTATCTATTTTTTATCATAAAATTAATACAAAAATGTTAATTTTAACATTTTTACATGTCACAGAAAGTCCACTATACGACTATAAGTTAAAATTAACATTTTATTTTTTACAGTGTAAAGATAAGGCAATCAAGATGTCACGAAGATAGCAAGGCGGTATCTCATACCTGTCGTCGCGATTATACTGGTTCCTTGTTTTAACAAAGAACTATACACAAACCATACGCAAGAGAGTAAGCTGAAGTTTTCGGAGTCGGGTTTGTTCCACAACTTCGCCCTACGAGATAATGATAATATTGAGAGCTGGAGCGTTTCACAAGGCACATTCTATGGATTTTTTTTTCGACGGACCTGAATGTGGCGAAGATGTAAATTACGGGTCCTATAGAAACCACTGCAGCGAGCACGAACAGCCAAACGGTATTGTCAAATGGTGCAAGCAATCCCGAACCGGTTGCCGATTCTTTCGGTCGTTTCATCAATACCGACAGCTCGCCTTGCTCCAAGATTGTACTGAACGTACAATACTTTTGCATTTCCGGCAAAATGGGCAAGTAGGCCACCGCCATATCTACCTTCTGAATGAAAAAAGTATATCTATATATATTTTTTTTTATGAACCTTAATTGTGTAAACTTTCCTCTGGAATAATTCTTGACTAATTAGTGAATTATCCTAGACGCATATCCAAAAACGAGACACAAAACGTCTTAAAGACATTTTTTAAAAGACGTGCGACGTCTTTAAGACGTATTATGTCTCGTTTTCGAACTTTTGTTGTCTGAGATTTTAATGTCTTAATACCCTCGTAGCAAAAAATGTCACAGTTACATCACAACAATCGCGGTTACGTCATGGTGACGTGCGAATGTCTTTGTAACATGTGTTATTTTGTTATAACAATCTCACAGCGACATCATATTTTCTTCCTGACTATTGTGACTCTATTGTGACGTGAATGTGATCCTTTGCTATGGGGGCACGATTGCCAAGTCCCGAGTACGGCTGGAGCCCGAAGGTCCGTGAGCTGGAGATTTTATATTTCAATTGGAGACCGGCCGATTGTTTCATTAAAAAAAAAAGAAAAAAAGAAAAAGGCGCAAGGTTTAATTCATGTTTTGCGACCACTGTTATTGACTTTCTTTTTATTATTAATATTTGACCAACATAAAGTATCAACACAATCATAGAGACTTTCTTATTATTATTACAAGATTTATACATATAGTACGAACACAATTACAAATTTTTTTATTATTCGTAAAATAACATAAACTGCGAACATAAT